CTCTTTAGCATATTTACCAACTGATATTCCTGGTTTTCTTTTATGTGAAAATGTCTTTGTTTCTCCTTCATCCTTGAAGAAGGTTTTTGCCGATTATAGACTTCTGCATTGACAGTTTTTGCCTTTCTCTTTCAGGCTTTTTATTGGCCTCCATAATTTCTGATGAAAAGGCAGCAATAATTTTAATTGCTGTTTCCCTCTATGTAATGTGCCTTTGTTTTCAGGCAACTTTTAAGATTGCCTTATTATTCTTTACTTTTTAGAAATTTGAATATCATGTACCCTAGCATGGTTTTCTCCATTTTTATCCTGTTTGAGGTTTTCTGAGCTTCTTAAATCTGTAAATTGATTTCCTTCACCAATTTGGGGAAAATGTAGGCTGTTATCTTCAAATATCCTTTTGCTGACTCATCCTCTTTCTCTTATTCTTCTGAGGCTTCAATGATACCTTTTGATATTGTTCCACAGATTCTTGAGGTTGTATTCCTTCCTTTCATTTTTTTTCTTTTTCTTTCTTCAGATGGGATCATTTCTATTGATTTTTCATCACATTGACTTACTCTTTCCTCTGTCATCTCCATTTTACTGTAATGTCCATTCAGTAATATTTTTAAATTTTAGATATTTTATTTTTCAGCTCTAGGCTTTCCACTTGGCTTTTATATAGTTTCTCTTTCTCTGCTGAGAGTTATGTTTTTATTTATTTTGACCATATATTTCTTTGCCTTCTGGAGCAGATTAACAATAGGTGCTCTAAAGTCCTTGTCTGCTAGTTTGCCATGTGAATTATCCAGGGGTCAGCCTTCACTGATGGTCTTTTCTCTTGAGAATGGGTCACATTTCCTTGGTTCTTTTTATATGGAGAAATCTTGCACTGTATCCTGGATATTGTGAAAGTTGTATTGTGAAGACTCTAGATTCTGTTATGATCATTTAACTGTTTTTTTTTAAATTTAGAAACCAATTTCCTTAAATCTTACGTCAGTTCTTCGTCCAGCCACTTTAGTGAGGCAGTCTGCAGTCTGCCCTACACATGCATAGTTCAGGGTTCTACACAGAATTTAGGAATCCTAATCCCTGGTTCTCTCCTTTCTGGAATTTGCTCTTCAATTTCCATCAGCTCTGGTTGCCCTAGACACTGTCATCTATTTCTTCAGGCTAGAATAATTCAGATTTGTTCAAAGTCTTTGCCACTCCATATTATACCACAGTGGTGATAAATATATGATAGATAGATGATAGATAGATAGATAATAGACAGATAGACCCACTTCACTTTCCTGGTCCTTTCTTCCAAGTTTTGACTCTTCCAGAATCTGTCTGTATTTTTTTTTTCATTTTTCAGAACTGTAGGCTAGTTTTTCATGGTATTTTATGAAAGTTACAGTTCATTTTCAAGAGGGTTGGTCTATGTATTAGTCTGCTAGGGCTGCCATAACAATGTACTACAGATGGTAAAAACAACTTAATTTTCTCACAAACTCTGGAGGCTAGAAGTCTGAGATCAAACTGTCAACAAAACTGGGGTGTTTTTGAGACCTCTCTCCTTGGCTTGTAGATGACTGTCTTCTCTCTCTGTCTTCACATGGTCTCCCCTCTTACCTCATTTAACTTTATTACTTCTTTGAAAACACTATCTCCAAACAGTCATATTTTGAGTTACTGCAGTTTAGGATTTTAACATATGAATCTTAAGCATCTTGAACACAGGTTAGCTCACAACAGTATATAAGGAAAATTTTCAGCCATACCAGAACTTAAACTTACCCATGGCTATTAGGGATATTGGACAAGATACATGTTTCCTCTGAATTCTAATTTAGTCTCAGACTCCTGCTCAGTATATGTTCCAGGCCCCCATTACTAATAAACTTGTGTTGGCATGCAAGATAAAATATATTTTCCATCCCTGTTCCAACATACTCACAACATCTACAATGTCAACTAGAATGTTAATTTCTAAAATTAAGTCTTTATTGCTACCTAAATGCAACCTATACTAACTCATAAATATCAATATAACAAACATGAGTGTTTTCTCTCCATTATGCCTCATGTCCAATAACCAACTTTTGTTGAATTTTTCTTCATAATATCTCTCGGATCTGTCCCTGCCTCTGAACTGAAGCATCAGACATGGAATTTCATTGCTCACTGTTCTCTATCTAAAACTTTCCAGTGGCTCTCCAATTTCACTCTGAATATAGCCAAAATCTTTACAGTGCTCTCTGAGTTTGAAAACCAAGTTCTTACTATTTTATTAACTATATCACATACTTCTGTATTATGTGTCATTTGTTTTGTTTGTTTTGTTGCCTATTTCCTCTGACAGAACGGAAACTACACCAAGACCGTTTTTCATTTGTGTTCATTGCAAAATCTTAGAGTTTAGAATACAACCTAGATTCTGATAGATGGCTAAACATATTTGTTGAATTAATCTGAATGAATGTATTATTTGCTTTCCCATTATTCTTTCTCTTATTGCAATGATGTTATTGGAAAACAATAACTCAGAAAAAAAGAATACCAACAAAATACAAGATGTTAACCATATTTTTTAAGACAACTGATCATATGTTTAGAAACCCTTTCTTTAAGCCTTTGTGAGTCTTTATATTAGTGACACTGCTTTATATTTCATTATGATGGGAAACATCTTAAATCTGAACTATTTTACCATCTTTTAACATAATAGTAATGAACCAATAGTATTTAAAATAAATATTTAAATACTTTGTAAAACAGAAGTAGTACTCTGTTCTAAAACTATTTTCTGACACTTTCATCTATTAGCTGTTCATTTTTTTGTGAAAGACTCCAGTATAAACTGTCTTAAATCTCTAAATTATGGTAATTCACTGATGAGGACGAAATTCTACTAACAACAATTTTGAAAATTGTTCCGGAACCTATGTCTCTCTCTTATAGCTCCCTGAAAAACATGGTGAATATGAAATATTGTCATAGAAATAAGCTTTTATCTACTGAGCAGCCTAGTTCTGATTTTTTCCCACCTATATGTATTATTTTACCATTACCATACATCACCATGTCAGAGTTAAAGTGTGCATCTGTGTATAAACATAAATTCTGTCTATTCAGTCTATATTTTACCATTCTCTCTTACTGTAGTCTTCTATATGAACCTAAAAATAATTTTTAAAAACCCCCACAAAACTTAGATGTACCCAAGAGAAACAGCTATGAGGAAAATAAACTCACAGAGGACAATTTAAAAATAATTTTTTTCCAGCTTCCTAGTTTAAAAATAGCATGCTTATTGAGATGTGTAACAATTAAAAATAGCTCTTAAGTAGAGAGACTGTGTTTTTTTAAGATCTGTTTATCTGACTTTTCATGTCAAAAATATTTAAGAATCAAAGTTTATATTTCACCAGTAATGTCTTTAAAGTCCTCAGGGTAAACCCCACACACACGTCCCACCACATACACACAGTATTAACTACTTCCTGGATATGCTAGATAGATTCAGAGTTCATATTAATCACTTTTTAAACACGCTATATAGGTTCAGAGTTCAACTTTATTTTGAAAAAGAATAAATCAGTTTTGAAGTTTTCTTATATAAAACTTGGCTAGAAACTCAAAGCCAGTGAACTGTAAGCATGGTTCACGAACTATTCCTTGTTGGCAAGTGTATGGTAAAGAGATCCTTGCTTGAAGAATGCTGGTATGAAGTAGAAGTATACATTTAAATGAATAGCTTGAAGAGAATGGATTTGTAATTTTAGGATTCAAAGTTTAATTGAAAAATTAGTTTAAATTGAGTAACTTAGAGGCTTTGCTAGGAATTTTTAGTAGTAACATAGAAATGTATCTCTACACTCCTTAGGAAAACTACTAACATAATCAAATACATTCACCAATTTAACTTCTTTCCAGTTCTTTTTCTCCCATATCAGGAAGTACCCACTCTTTAATGAACTTGTTCATCTTCCTACTTGTAATTCTTATATTTTTTTAATATGTAAAATCTCCGTAGACCTTTAGGGTAAAATGATAGCCCAAGCAATTGCCTCATCTAGGAGACTATTCAAGAAGTCACAGCAAACACAGAAGGTACTTTCTCTTGGAAAAAAAATTAAAATTTGTTTTTCATAGTATTTGTTCTCTGCTTTTGATTTGCAGCTAAAAGAGAAAAAATGTTTTCATGTTCTTCTTAATCTTAAAAATACACACAAACATATAAAAACAATATGTTTAATTCCAGCAAAGGTTTATCAAGTCTAGAAGTTCTTAAGAACACGCCATAAGCCTATATGTAAAAAATTAATAGGAAGCCTAGGGCTTGACCTTGGCTCCTGAGAAGGATCGGGACGCCGAGGCACATTCCCACAGTTCCTCTGAGTCATTTGCTGTGTCGTTCATAGGTTGGCAAGGATAGTTCCTAGTCAACAATTCAATTCCGGCCACTGTCAAACCTCCATATACAGTTATAGGAGAAGAAAGATAGACAGTTTCTCATATTTGCCAATTCTGAATAATTACCAAGATCACATTTCAATCAGCAGATTTCTCAGGAGTTTTTTGTGTCAAAACTGCCTATGATGTTATGATCCAGTGAATAATAATTTATTATAAGGTCAAATGCAATGCCTGGAGTAAGTAACACATGATCCAATTTAGTAAACCCACTTCTCTCTTTGCAGAGTTGCAAGTGAATACAGAAATACTTGCAAATTGCTTTGAGCTGTGTAATGCCTCAATGCAGACATGTGCATAGGTAAGGGAAGACAAGACAAAGGAAAGAAGTAATCATATTTTTGCACCTGGTACTATGATAAGCACTTCTTAGACTCTGTTTCATTTTATTCTTCAAAAAACATGGCCGCTATTTGTATAATCTTCATTTTAAAGACAGGTCTTTCTGGTTCTGGAGCCTACACACTTAATATAGTACCACATTATTATTATCTATGAAACAAAAGATTTCTGTATTCATTTGCTCCTTATTCAACCCTAGCTAAAAGGATTTACCTTGTTGATTTCCTTATAGGTCTGTATATTGGCACCGGTGATATGCATGTCTAGCCTGCAAATGGCATGTCTCTCTCAGCTTTGACGTCAGGTGGCTCACACTATACCATCCAGCCATATTCAGGTGTAGGTCCCAGGAAGATGGTGGACAAATCTGAAAGTTAAGCATAGACAAGAGCTTCCACGTTCAGGCCATGAGACTCCTGTAAATTCATTAGGACACTGAGAACTATTTTAGGGGAGGAGAGATAAGAATCACATTGCTTTCATTCATGTATTTATGCATGTATACATGTAGTTATTTATCATCCACTAAACAAACGTTATTGGTGCACCTACACAGGCCAGGCATTGTTAGGCATCGGAAATGCAGAGGTGAGTATGACAAGTATAGTTCTGGCCCTTACATACCCCTAAGTAGTCTAGTGGAAGAGAATGATATGAAAAAGAATTACCCAAATAAGTGTATGAGGGCAGTCTTTGAAAAGTATAATGAAGGAGCATATTGGTGGGTATATAACCACACCAGCAGGCAGTCTGAACTAGTCTAGATGTTCCAGACAGACTGAATGAGAAATGGGAGATAAAGAGGTACAGGTGTGGGGTGGGCAGGGGTTGGGGGTATGGATAGAATTGCAGACCAAGCAAGCATCATCTGGGACAATTCTGTGGGGATGGAGACACCAGAGGGACCGGAGCACAGACAACCATAGGGCGAGCAGTTTGCAAAGCCCTGTGGAGTGGTGGGGCAGCAACCTGAACAGCCATATCCTCGTTAAGGACGTGTTTTCATCTTAAAAGAGGCAAGAAGTTTTTAAAAGGCTTTAAGCAGGGACGTGGCAAGATTAAATGTGTGATTTGAAAAGATCTCTTTGGATGCCACGTTTAGAATAGAGTGGGGAAAATAATTGAAGTGTTTCAGATAAGACATGATGGTAGCTTGGGCTAAGTGGTAAGAGGAGAGAGTGAGAAATAGACACGTAGGGAAAACAGTCGTACTTCTCAGTGATTGCTTGAATCCTTGGAGCTAGGGAAAAGGATGCATAGGGATGAACCCAGACGCTTCCTATATAAGTGTTGAAATTGAAGTGAGGGATGCACAGATTCTTATTAAATGTGGTCACTGCTTGGTTACTGCATTCATCTTCTCATCTTCCTGAGCACAGCTCTCATTTAGCAGAGAAAATTACCCCTTTTACCCTTAGGATCAATAAGTGATTGCCCTCCTTGACCTTCTAGAATTTCTGCCCTGTCTGGAAAGTTTGATAATAGCTAAACTACAAAACAAAGCACCCAAGGATTTTTTTTTCTTCTGTCTGGCTTCTCTTCTTTTATTCCCCCTGATTATATACATCCAAACTACTACATCTCATCCCACATAAAATGACTCTTCTCCCTCAATCCTTTAACTTTGAGAAATTCTTTTAGTTCCATTTAGAAAACATCAAGTAAGATTTAAGAGGCTAGGCAGTGGAAATACTCATTTCTCTTTGGAGGGATTATGTTTTTTCTTTCAAGGTTATTAGTTATCTAGAGCATGAGAAACGGCATCTGCAACAATCCCAGGGACTCAGAAGATTAAGAAAAAGAAATGAAAAGTCGGTACTTTGGAACCGAACGCTTAGTTTTATTTCATTCAATTTTTAGAACTTGCTTAAACCACTATTATTGACTTGATATCTTTCATTGTCTACATAAAAGAATGCAAAATGGCAGAAGGTGATGGTAGATCGCTACCATCTCACTGCCGCTATCCGAAGTCTATAACTACTGAGCTGGGATTATAGATCTGCAACTTTGACTTCATTCGGGGGTTGACTTGAATCCTGAGCTACTGCCCCTCACCCTGCATTCCAGTCAGCACCACACCTGATAGGGAACTACCTTTGCCTCTGCCGTTAACTAGTTTTGTGGCTCTGGAAAATTCATCTGACCTCCCTGGACCTCAGTTTCCTGGTTGTAAAGCCAAGAGGTGAGGCCTGATGATTTCTGAAGTACCTTCCACTTAACTTTCTAAGAAAGACAAATCTTGGTATGTCTGACACAGAGTGTGTGTATGTGAACCGGTGTATTTGCTTTTTATCCAACTTTTTCAATCTTGTGCCTCATAAATGTTACAAAACAAACCTCACATATTTCTTTCTCCTTTGAGAAATAAAAGCAGATAAATAATAAGCCAGGTATTTACAGTTATAAGATCCCGGACATTTGAGATGTCTGTTAATTTGCCCCTATCTTATCCATTTTGGCCTGTCACCCATCTCTAGACCTACCTCCTCCAGGGCCCTTAGGGTCCCCAAATGTCCCTTTGGCAGGACCTCTCCCAGGCTGACCCAGTGAGGAAGTGCTCCCAAATCAAAACTGAGCAGCCCACCCATGCTCGTAAAGATAACCTCAGCAAGGAGGAAAGTAATCTGATTTCCTGATAAAAAATGTGACGTTTCAAAGATGGCACTGACTGATAGGCTGGACTACCCCAGTGTTATTTACGTGTTCAAATAGGAACAACGAACACCAGTGGATTGCTTATTGATCGGGTGCCCCTGAGAAATGAGTGGGAGCCGTCGGGCCATCTCGTTGCCTAGGCGGGGTTGTCTGCCTCCAAAGTATATCCTCAGAACAGAGGTCTGTGACTGGGTGCTCCACTCTGAAATCTTACTGAGCCGCATCATTCAATTCCTTTTTAGCACTGCGAGGAACAGACACTATACAGAGGAGAGAGGAGTGCAAATCCTCTGCACCACATAGCACTGGGGGGTGGGGGAGAAGATGTGCAGAAATCATTAAATACAGTTGACTACCTGCTTGTCGCCCTTTGGAGAGAAGGTCTGTCAGGGAAATAGGTACAGTCACTGTCTTCTAGAATAGACTTTTTATTAAGAGCTGCTGAAACAACAAAATTACTGCTCTCTGCATTCAGTACTCAGTGATCCTCTGTTGTTTTTTTTTTTAATTTCAAAAGCTATCTGTTAGTCTATAATTTGAAAAAACTAGACCTCTGTTGTCAGTACGTAGCCACTAGCTACATGAGGCAGTTAAGCACCTGAAATGTAGTTTGTCCAAACTGAAGTAGGATCCAAGTGTCAGATGCATCCCAGATTTCAAGCCCTATAAAGAAGGCTACTCATCAGCTGAAGATTTTTCTAACAGGAGATGGGACAACTAACATGACTGATAAGCAGAATGTATACATCGAATAGTATATATATATATATATTTTTTTGTGGTACGCGGGCCTCTCACTGTTGTGGCCTCTCCTGTTGCGGAGCACAGGCTCCGGACGTGCAGGCTCAGCGGCCATGGCTCACGGGCCCAGCCGCTCTGCGCGGCATGTGGGATCTTCCCAGACTAGGGCACGAACCCGTGTCCCCTGCATTGGCAGGCAGACTCTCAACCACTGCGCCACCAGGGAAGCCCCCGAATAGTATATTTTGCTAGGAAATAATCATCTGGTATTTATATTTCTAAGCGTATCCTTCTCTTTGATGCAAAAACAAATAGTTTTCACACCAAAGCTATCAAATTAATTCTACTATAGTTGAAAATTAAGGAGAAATTTTTTTTTTTTTGGCAGTATGTGGGCCTCTCACTGTTGTGGCCTCTCCTGTTGCGGAGCACAGGCTCCGAACGTGCAGGCTCAACAGCCATGGCTCACGGGCCCAGCTGCTCCGCGGCATGTGGGATCTTCCCGGACCGGGGCACGAACCCGTGTCCTCTGCATCGGCAGGCGGACTCGCAACCACTGCGCCACCAGGGAAGCCCAGAAGGAGAAAATTTTATAAACTACTTTTTTCTTGGTGGTAGGGGTCGTACTTATCTTCTCAAAATCTGAAAAACTTAAATAAGAAGCTCCTTCTAAAACTCAAACCAGTAGCCAAAAAAGAAAAGTTTTGTGCATTTTTTGATTAACTTTATTCTTCAAGCACTGCCTATTAAAATACAGTCACAATCAACACTTAGGCACAAGTCTTATGCATGAGCCGGGGATCAGTGTCTTATCTCAATGTTTACATAAACCAGGAGAGTAGAAATCTCATAATCCAGCAAGAGTTAGAAATCGGTAATTAGTTTGTAACAGAATTAAAGTAAGTCGTTCCTTTTCCATATATCATGATCATTTTTATTTACTGAGAAAATAATTTTCTTCCTAATTCTTAGGACAGAGTAGAAAAGTCAGTTACATACTGTGCTATAGACTTTGACTTCCTTTAGAAGGAAGGTTGTATTGTTTGCCCTTTTTTCTTTAGCCTTCAGCCATATGTTTAGACTCAGCCTCTCCTTCCATGCTACACAGCAGCATGAAAGCCATAAAATAACCTAGACACAATTTTGAAAGCAGTGGATAAAGTCAATCTTTCTACTGTTGCCATTCATATATTTACTCATTCATTCTAAAACTGTGTCTCAAGAATCATCTTGGTACCAGAAAGTCTGCAAAGCATTATAGATACAGAAATAAATAGTATCAAGTTGGTATGGAGGTATACAGAGATAAATATACCAATTTCTATTGGATGTAAGGAGTTAACTATATTAGGTATTATAGTTGACACTGATATAAAAATATATACAGAAAGCCCACCACTATGAAGGGTGATCCTCGACTACTTTCTCAGAATGAATCCTGGCCAGAGAAGAAGACGACAGGGTGGTGATTGCAGTGGTTGAAGGAGGATGTTGCGTTTGGGACAGAGGATTTCCGGAGCTTGAGTATCTATGTGAAAGGAGGAAAAGTGAATGATGAAAGAGGATGTAATTTTTCACTCTTCAGTTGCTTCACGTATACAGTTTTGCCTTTGTCACTTATATAGTAATTCTACAGTGATTATTATCAATAATATTATTGTTAAATATTAATTCCATACTCTTCACAAGGATAAGCCTATCTGTTTTTTTGGGGGGGGTTATTTCTTTATTTACTTTTTGTATTTGACATCTCTCTAATGTAATTGGCAGATCCTTGTGATGTTCTGAATTCCTTTCAAATCTGGGTATTGGGCAGTGTCTGGACACTGGCATTTAGTACCAGAAGATGTTATCACCTCTTAGATAATGAGTGAATGTTCCAGATCTCCAACTCAAAAATATTCTCGATCTTTAAACATCTAGCCACCTTTTGAGGCCAAGACTGCAGTGACACTGTGGAAAACGGTCTCAAAAGAGACTCCCCATGATTCCCTGCCCGGTGTTTTCTGCCTCCACAGTGTCCTGGGGTGGAAAATTTTGCCTTGGACTTCGCTCCAGTTGGAGGAGGACATTTCCTTCTCTGGGCAGACTCGTAAATTGTACAGACACAACAGAAGATTATCATGCTGAAGATGAAAGAGTGAGACTATGTCGATCCCAAGAAATTAGGTCATAAAAGTTTTTCTAGCGCTTTGCTAAATAAGAAACCTATCTTCAGTGTACTGAGAAGGCCGAGATTACTTGGATGCCATTTATTTATATGGAGAGAGAAAAATGAAGTTTCTTTGTCACTTTTGGGGACTTTAACTTTCAACTAACTAAATAAATGATGTACTGAAAATTAGGTCTTATTTAAATATTATGTTTTGTAGAGCCTTACTCACTGTTCTTAAATTCTGGGAATAGGTATGAAAATATTCCCTTCTTGAATTCCTATTGTGATTTTGAATTCTTTTGGGATTATGGAATGAGGTGCCTACAGAAATGTCCAGAATATGTATCGTGGTCTTACTGAATTTAGTAAAAGGAAAAACAATTCAAACCGTCTCCAGCTTTTAACAATGTTTTAGGTAAAGTAAAATTATCCTGACAGAAATGTAAGTAAACATTTTGACTACCTTCCTCATATTCATGATGCACCAGAAATTGCATTATAAACGTTCGGAGGCGGTTAAATAGTTACTCAGAGCTGGCAATAATATGTCTGGATGACATGAAGCAGATAGGTTCTGCTTGCCATCAAATGGACTTTCCACCTCTAGGGAAGAATTTAGCAAGAAATTCTTGAGCATTTGTAAACCTCCTCATAGCTTTCATTTCTTTTGACTGAAAGTCTAGGTACCAAAAAACAACAACAACAACAAGAGGCATTCTATGTAATTATCTTTATCTTTATTTTTGCTGAGATTGTAACTCTATTTACTAACAAGTTTGGAAGCTTCTCCTCTGTTTGAACCAAGAAATCTAATCCCTACTGTAGGATAGAGAGGGCGCCAGCATTGAAGGTTGAAGACATGCTGACTGCTTGCCCTTCCTCTCCAGGGTCAGTTAGGTCAGAAGATTCAGACCAAAGACACGTGGTGGGAAGAACCCAGGCCAGAAAGGCAAGGTTCCTTCAGTTCTGGGACCTAAATTTCTGTCATTCACTATCTTTTATTATTTCTTAAATGCAAATGAAAGATTAAGGTGAATGCAATTCGCTGCCAATTTGTATGAATTCTTTTCATCTCATAATCAGGCCCTTTCTAGTTAAGTATAGCTATGAATATATAAATAAAAATAGAACTAGAGGGACAGTCTTGGTTCTGCTGCTAGGAAAGGAGGTATGCAATTTTGGGCATCCCAGGTTAGCAGGAGGACAAGAGTTATTGGATGACCATCGTAGGCCCACTTGAATCGCATTGTGGTAGCATGGGTGGTGGGATGGGGCAGTGGGGGAAGGTTGGAATGGATACTGGTGCAGGCGTAGGAAATGTTCACATCTTGTCATATTTAAAGATAACTACTGAAAATCTTTTAGAGGCAATCCCTAATTTACAAACAGATTGTATTACAGAAGCTTAACAACTTGATGAAACGAAGTTTGGGGATATAATTACCTTGTGGAACAGAATGATAGTGGGTATGGAGAATTCCAAGTCAAAATACACAATTTGCTTTAACCTATCCATAGATGTTGTCTGATATATGTTCAGGACATAGGAGAATAAAACTTTAAATCTACTTTTAAAGTGTTTCAATTCTCTGTGAGTAGTGAACAGTAAATATCCTCCATATAGAGACTAAAAATGATTTTTAAAAATTTGTAGTTTGTACGTATGCATCTTTTTTTTTTTGCGGTACGCAGGCCACTGTTGTGGCCTCTCCCATTGCGGAGCACAGGCTCCGGACGTGCAGGCTCAGCGGCCATGGCTCACGGGCCCAGCCGCTCCGCAGCATGTGGGATCTTCCCGGACCGGGGCATGAACCCGTGTCCCCTGTATCGGCAGGCGGACTCTCAACCACTGCGCCACCAGGGAAGCCCCCGTATGCATTTTTAACATCAGTGTTTTTTTTGCATAGAAGTCCAGCATTGCTACTTCTTCCCAATGTTTGGACATCACCAATGGTTTTGTAGTCAAGGAAATGAGTTCCTTGAGGTTGGTTTATCTTTTTTTTCTTACATTTTTCATCAGACACATCAGACCTGCATGCCTCTGATTGCACAAAAGAGCAGGGTAGAGAAAAGAATCCCATTATTATCTTTTTTAAAACACTGTTAAGAGGATCACAGAGTCCTGAAGACCATGTTCGCCACTTCAAGTTCTCGTCCCTCTTTCACTGATTCTCATGGAATTGAACTACATTTCTCTGAAATATATTTCCTTGGAAACTTCTTGAAATACTCTGCCTCTGGACTCCTTGTAAAGATGTACTTTCCAAGAACAACTTGATTTTCAATAGATTTTCTAAGAACTGACCTCTAACCTAGACTGAGGCAGCCTTCTCATCCTATACTCAAGCAACACCATGGCTTTCCTAGGAAGTTGCCTGGACTAATTAACATTATATTCAGAAGAAAGAGAGGCAGCTAATGTATTTTCTGGAAATAAGCACAAGAATATAAAGTGCCCTTCTTATTGTTGAGGGTAACAATGTCAACCAGGCTTTTCCGTGGAACTTACAGGAGTGGTTAGTGCCTAATTAAATGGATTCATAAGCCCTGAGCTATGTTCAGCAATTAATTCAATTGAGTAAACATCCATTGACATCTCAGGGCCAGGCACTGGTGCGAAGGATCAAGTGATGAAAAATGGCAGACCCTTCTCAAATAGTTCACTCCAACCCATGATTAAAATGCAGGAGATAAGGGGAAGAAGTGCAACTGTAGGTGTATGTTCAAGGGACAATATCAGTACCGAGAAAAAGAACAGTTGACTGTAAGAGTGATCAGATGAATAGAAGCTGAGTTGGAAGACTCAGGAATTTACTCTGAGAAAATAGGAGATGGATGATTCCAGGCAAAAGTATCCGCACATGCAGCCCTACAACAGTAAGAAAGGTCCAGACATGGTCAGAGCACCCTGAAGGGTTTGTGTGTCTGTAGTATAAATATGCAAGGGTGGAGGAAAGGAGTCTTATGGTAAAGGAGCTCAGGGCCTGGTATGCCTTACATAAACTGGGGACTTTTTCCTGGAGACTATGAGATGACAGTACAGACTTTTAGTTGAGAAAGAGACAGTTAAATTTGCAGTTTGCAAGGCCCTTCATCTCAGCGGTATGGTACATAGGTTAGTTAGAGAAAGAACTCAGAGGCTAATAGGCTTTGGCAGAAAGTAGACCTTTTTTTTCCTCCTAGTTTAAGCCTGAAATAATGATATCTGATGTTATGATAATATCTCATGGTAGTGGAATTGAAATTAAAATGAGACGAATCCAAGAGAAAGAAGCCAACTTGGTAAGATTGGTAACAGATTGGAGGTAGATCATTCTGAATGTGCTTTCTGGCACCAGCAAAATAGGGGCAGCCATTTTTGAACCACTTTATTGAGGTAACATTGACACACAATAAATTGCACGTATTTAAAGTGAATACTGTGTCAAGTTTTTTATAATATGTGTACAGCTGTGAAAACACCGCAATTAAAATAGTAAACGTGTCTGTCACCCCCGTAAGTTTCCTTTTGCCCTTCTGTGATCTTTCTCTGCACACCCCCTCACCCCTTCTCAGGCAATTGCTGATCTGCCTTCTGTCACTGGAATCATACAGCATATTCTCTTTTGGCCTCCAGCTTCTTGCATTCAGCATAATTATTTTGAGATTCAACCATGTGTGAACATCAATAGTTCCTTCCTTCTCATTGCTGAATAATCCTCCATAGCATGGATATACCATGTTTGTATCTTCCAGTTTTATTGAGATATAATTGGCATACAGCACTGTATACATTTAAGGTGCATAGCATAATAATTTGACTTATGTACATCATGAAATGATGATCACAATACGTTTAGCAAGCTTCCATCATCTCCTATTAATACCAAATTAGAGAGATAGAAAAAAGATTTTTGTGATGAGAACTCTTAGGATTTACTCTCTTAACCATGGTCATATATAACGTGCAGCCATGTGAATTATATTTATCGTGTTGTACGTTACATCCTGGATATACCACATTTTGTTTATCCATTCACTGGTGGATGGAAATTTGAATTATTCTTGTTTTTAGCTATTAAAAACAAAGCTACTATGACACTTGTATGCGACTATTTGTATGGCAATATGCCTTCTTTTCTTTTGGAGAAATGCCTGGAATTGGAATAAGCCCATCATATGGTAAGTGTAAGTTTTTTTTTTAAATCCTGCAAACTGTTTTCCAAAGTTGTTGACCATTTACATTTTTAAAATTATTTATTTGTTTGCTTGCTTGTTTGTTTATTTTTGGCTGCATTGGGTCTTCGTTGCTGCGCGCAGGCTTTCCTCTAGTTGTGGTGAGCAGGGGCTACTCTTCTTTGCAGTGCGTGGGCTTCTCATTGCGGTGGCTTCTCGTTGCAGAGCACAGGCTCTAGGCTCGCGGGCTTCAGGAGTTGTGGCACGCCAGCTCAGTAGTTGTGGCTCACGGGCTTCGTGGCTCCACAGCAGGTGTGATCTTCCCCGACCAGGGCTCGAACCCATGTCCCCTGCATTGGCAGGCGGATTCTTAACCACTGCGCCACCAGGGAAGTCCAACCATTTACATTTTGATGGCTGATGTATGAAAGTTCCATTTTCTCCAAATTCTTATCCACACATATCATGGTTAGTCTATTTTTAAAATTTTCTCAGAAATAGTTGGTCTTGAAATTATGTGAAAAGGGATAGAAAAGGGGAAAGAAGAGTGACTGTATCCTTTCATCTCAAAAGAGCAGCTGGTATTCATTCCTGTAGTGCCTCTTGTTTCTCTTGGGTACTTGTCCTAATGGCAGATAACAGAGCAGAGTTTGGTCCTCAGTAGGCTTCCCTCCAGGAGACTGAGAGGGGACCACGCTTTCTGAACTGCCACTCTTCTTGCAGTAACTGTCGTCAGAGACTGGAAAACCAGCCCATTGAGGGCTGGCCGGGACCAGGAACAGGCTGTCCTCTGTTTTCCATCTACCATTCTCACCTATTACTCACCTACATGATTCCACAGTCAAATGGTGGTTCCTTCAAAAGAGAATGGACCTGAGGACACAGGGAGGGGAAGGGTAAGCAGGGACAAAGTGAGAGAGTAGCACTGGCATATATACACTACCAAATGTAAAATAGATAGCTAGTGGGAAGCAGCCACATAGCACAGGGAGATCAGCTCAGTGCTTTGTTACCACCTAGAGGGGTGGGATAGGGAGGGTGGATGCAAGAGGGAGGTGATATGGGGATGTATGTATATGTATGGCTGATTCACTTTGTTATAAAGCAGAAACTAACACAACAATGTAAAGCAATTATACTCCAATAAAGATGTTAAAAAAAAACACTGTATAATTGTCTGCCTCCACATCTCTCTTCATTTTTAAGAAAGCATCTAGGTAGCCACTTAGAAATGACTGGCAGTTTTTCATCTCTTTTCCATGATAGTTTAAAACAATTCTTCATGCGCACCCTGAAGAGGGTTATTGGTGAAGAGACGTGGAATTTCTACCAACTGCTGCCCTTTGTGATTTTCAAGGAACTAACAGTATCTATTGACTCTGCCTTCCCACTACCAAAATCTCATTTTGTTTGTTTGCCAAGTTCAATAGTTTAATGTATTCAATGTTGGGTTTTTCACCTCCCACCATATTTCCTTTGTCTCTGCATTTTCTGCTTCCCGTTATTGCCCACTCATCATCCCAGCTCAGTTGCCAAACCAATTTTGAATTTAGGCCCAGAAATGATTTAAGAAGTTTAATCCTGCCCCCGCCTCACCAGCACTGTCAAATGGAGTTTAGTTGTCATCTTCCCTTCTGGATATGTAGACATCAGAAGTGGTGCCCTAGTAATGTGCTTTGAGTTATTCCTTGAATTCCACTCTGCAAATCTGAACTTCACATGCCTGTCCAAGGAAAATAATCATGTGATTTGATGACTGGATGGGAGATTCTTTGACTTGACAGAGCCAGGGGAATTGTAGGCCAATATCCTGTGGAGGAAAGAACCTAAAGTTTATCAAGCAGTCTTCTTGACTGATCTCAGGCTTCTTAGCCAATGTCATGTCAGATATGATTAAATCTTCATTAACTTTTTAATGACACTGATAAAAACTCAATTAGTCAACTAGCTATTTTATTGGATTCCCTATGCCTAAATTATTATTATCTTCTCAGTGTAAGTTTCTTATAGAAATCTTTTTAAACTAATCTCCCATCTGTGACATTATATTCATTAAAATTAGGTTATAAAATATGTAAATATATTAAAGTTGGCATAAGTGCAATACTCTGTAATTCAATGAAAGTGAATAAACATTATATATTTGTGTATAAGACTATAAGTGATTGTACAGTTGTCTCTCGGTATTGCCAGCCTCGGCCTCCACTGAGCAGCAAGGACTTAGACTTGAGAAATTGCCAGTAAACATTTTTATCTGTATCCCGATATATGGCCGCAGTATCCCTTTATACTGCATCTCTAGCATATTCACCATTGAATGTAACATTCTAGAACAAGGGATTGCTCATCTGAACTTGCTTATCTCCATCCTCAAGTTTTTAACATGATATTCTCTAAATCTGAATTAAAACACATCCACCTACCAAGCTGTGCCTGTCAAAATTCTACTTGTTATCTCAGGCTTAACTAGAAAATTCTGCTTCCTTTCTTCAATCTTCCCTAATTATTTCATATTGGGCATAATTTCTCCTACACATTCTACCTCTTTTCTAACAAGTCACGTAATGCTCTGTATTTAATTTACCCAGTCACATTATCAGTCTGCCACAGATTTTGAGATCCTAGAAGACAGATATATCTGGTTCTTACAGATCTCGGTCCTCTCCCCGCTTATCTAGCCACTGCCCCACTCACAGATGATGCACAATACTATTGTCTTAATCAAACTAAGGAGCACCGGATGAAAATGATGCTTTGAATAATGAAGTAGGTGAGTGATTAGTTATGCAGTATGACCACGCTCAAGGAGACTGGAGAACTGTTTTAATTAGGAACACAACTAGAGCTATCTCTAGGAAACAGAGAAAGGCCCAGACAGTTAAAGGCCATTGGCAGCTATGAAGGGATTTAAGGGTAGAAGTAGAAGAAAAAAGGGTTTTCAGTTATGGACAAAGTAATTCCCTGAAGCTCTTCTGCCTACAAATCATTCTTAAGCCTTGTTATCCACATTACAAAATGAGTTGTCAAAAAACATTCTTGGGCAGAGGAAATAAAACCCCAAAGGAAATAGATTATTTTTGAAATTCTAAGGAGTAAATAGTAAGGCCCAGGGGAAACTGGCATGTATATGAATCTGCAGTCCTTTTTAAGCCCTTACCTAGATCACTTTAATTCATTCAACCCAAAAGTTTCAACTCTCTTTATAATCGTCCAACAGCCAATAGAAGCTCCCATGTAACTATCTGACTTAGTCAAGATGCACTAAGGTGCCAGGTTGGTTGTTTCCAGAATCTAGATTCTGCTCGTTTAGAGAATATGGCCACAGTCTGAACCTTGGATACAAAATTTTAAGCTAGAAAAATATATTGAAAAACTAAAAAGATGAAGAAAAATCAAATAGGAAATCGAATCCATAGTTATTTTAATTATCAGAGCTCCATTAACTTTTGAATTCTCTTCATCTTATTTTGTCCACATCCAATTAACACTTCAATCCCTCACCACGTGGCAGTGAGGTTTCTTGGTTGTTTGGGTTTGTTTTTTGTTTGTTTGTTTTCACTTTTCAGCTTTATCTCCTTTCTCTTCATCATGTTTTGTTTTCTTTAGGTTTGGGGTGTTTTAGTACTTTGAGTAGTTGTTTTTAAATCATTGGTACTGGAATTCACTTTATTTGTAAAAATGAGATTAGATTCAGTAATCTTCACAGTTTCTTCAGTATTTAAAATTCCATGACTAACAGTTTCATAAATAATCATGAGATTAGGTTTTTAAAAATGTTTTAAAGGTTATTGAAAGAGAGGAAATCTTTCTTTTTTTAGAGTGTCCTTTCTAGTTTCATGGCACAAATGTGAATTTGAATGTTTATAATGTTTTAATATGAATTTTAATGTGATGTCAGGAATTGTTTAGGAATCGGCCAACAACTGCAGAGAGAGAAGGGGCTGTAACACGGTGTGTTTCAAAGAAACCCCACCTCCCGCAGTCCTGGGATGGTATAGAAGATGGTGGGTCCCGTGACTCCCTGTGCAGTAGAAAGATGGGTCAGAGGAGGCGTGACCTCTAGGCTCCCAGCAGGCAATGTGAGGGCCCACCTGAAGAGGGCTTTGCTGGAATGGACCAGTGGCAAGTGTCACAGAGATAGGGTGGCCCCCTCTGAGGGGGTCCTTCAAAGGAGGTTGGCGTACAGCTGAGTAGTCTCTATAAATAATCCAAGGAAACCAAGAGACGAGGAGGCAGGGAGAAGGAAAGAAAGACAGGAAGAGGAGGGACAAAGAAAAAGCAAAGTACAAAGAAGGAAGCATCTAGGAAGGAAACAAAGAACAGGAGGAAAGAAGGAAGGAAGGGACACATGAGAGAAATGAAGTGTTTTAATCTACTTTAACAGTTAAACACCGTGAAAATTTTTGTAATATAAAATTTTAATTTTTTTAATCTTTAACTTGGTAACTGCTTTTTTCATGGAAATATTTATTAATGAATGGGCTACAATTTGGAGAATGCTGGTGCAGACATGCAGCAAACAGGTGTAGAAGAAGAAGGATGTAAAACCATTGTGAGAATATTTAGATCTATAGTGATTCTTAGGAATACATTTGCGGTTGTTTCAATTCTAAGATTAGAACAAATTTGTAGCCAAATAATATCTACATTTGGGGAAACTTGTGTATTAAACACACCCACTCCCCCACTCCTGCTCTTATAGTATCCTGCCTCTATTCTTTACCTCTACGTAAACCTCACTGTGTCTGTGTTTGGTAAAAAATTGTGCACGCTGTTCGTTTACTAAGCACAGATATATACTTTCCAATAATTAAAGAAAAAGATCTTTTAAGAAAAAGTGTTAGTAAAAATTAAGGCTAACCGAGTGCTTGGCATGGCAGGTGTTCTATGAGGATTAAATGATTTGCTTCTTCTAGGTAATTTAACACGGTCTATATTTGTGTATTAGGCAACGGAAATATTTTTCCAAGCAAACCTTAAGTGCTCCCAATAAAGTTATTTGCTCAATTGCCCTGGGGTGTCTCATGCTCTAATGAGATTTGGGCTAAGAAGGGCAGAGTATGTTAGTCCTAGAATTCACCCAGACCGTGTTGAACAAAGTACATACCTTTCTTTTACTTTTTTCTGCATGTGTCAGATGTGTTGTTCACGCTTAGTCCCTTATAGTGTTTCTTCAATCTGTGAGAATTACTGAGATTATAGTAACTGTTCATTATATCTTGCATTTTTCATAGGTTTCATTAATTCCCTTCTATTATGGTCTTTGTGCTAAATTCTAATGAAGAAAACTGTAGAACATATTTTATATGAGAAAATAGCAAAAAGATGGTAGACTATGCTTTGTGTATAAAATGCTGACGTGAAGGATTATGTGTGTGTGTTGGGTGGGCGTGAGGGAAACTAACTAAGAGAACAGAACTTGTTAATGACCTGTATCACTCTTTCCCAGTACTCTACAGATATATCATCAAAAGCTCTATTGTGACTTTCAAACACTTGCCTCTGACCAAAATAATAGGCAAGGAATGTGTCAAGAAAAGCTCTTCTTTGGATTATAAAATTTAACTTTACTAACTATGGAGCTTGAAGCTTACTTTCATAAATTACTTACAAAATAGGAGAGCCCCATCATCCCAGTCTTGAAGAAATGCAGTTTTATCTTGTTTTAGCTGTACTTGCTGAACCTATTATTATACATTTAATTCCGTTTATACATGTGGCTTTGCCCACTATATCTTTTGATGAACACAATATCTAAGACAACATGAAGAGAAACAGTTGCATGAGAACTCATTTGACATCCAGCCCATATGATTGCACACCTCAACGATTGAACTGCTCTTTTAACCAATCACCTGTCTCTCCTTTCACTTTCAAACAGCTTTTTGTTTATGATCATCAAGCCACTTTCTGTGTTCCCATCAGAAAAGAGTAAGGGTCTCCTAAAGGAGATCCGTAAAGTCTAAGACTGAAGAAGGAAAATAGGAAATACTGGGGCAGGGAGAGTCCCATGAAAGGCCCAGGTGTTCAGTTTGCTTCTAGGGTGGGTCTATTTTTGATGCCAACAGAACCTTCTTGAGTCCCTTAACAAAGGACTAAAGCTTCTACTACAGTCCAAAGTGTCCATAGGGCATCCCTTAAACACACTCTACACTTCCTCACCTGCATGCCGTGCCTTCCCCTCTCTTCTCTGCTTATACAAATCTCCACTTTCAGAGTGCAGACCCACTGGGAAGCATTTTTGGACCATTCCATCTGGAAGAGAAAACTCCCTCTGAATTTATATAATGCTTAGCTATCAGTGTCAATGAGAACGATCATGTACAGAAAAAAAAGAATCTTGGACCAGATAGCCATACATTTCATCATTTACTAGATACGTAATCTTCTTGAATAAATTTATAGCCCTCATATACGCCCCCCATCTTCGTCCTTAAAATAGAGTAAGATCTATGCTACATCTCAAACATGTTGGCAGGATAAAAATGTTGTCATGTTTGTGAAATGTTTTGTATGTGGTAATTGATTATACTTAGGTAAGGTATTTGCTTTATTTCCACCAAATTCAGCTATGATGATTTACATCCTGGTAATGTAATATGCTTTCAGTTATGACTTTCTTATTGCCTCAACCCTATTAAAAATATATTAACTTTTTCTGATGTGATTATTATAGAAAATATTAAAAATGCATCAAGTATAAAAATGGGAAAAAAGTATAATGTCCTAACCAGAAAATAACCACTAAACCAAGAAATAACCACTAGTACCATTTTTTACTTCATGTCATATACCTACATATATATCACAATTCTTATATATGCACATATATGTGTATATCTTTGTACACAGATCTGTTCAGTTATCAATACATCCTATGGATATTCTTAGTCCTCAGCTCCATCTTTGCTTCCTAAGATACAGCCATAGTATTTTGACCCCTGTTGTGTCTGGCTAAGCACTCAGCACTTTGCTGTGGGTATAAAATGTTCAATAAATAAGCTTTGTTCACAGAATGGCTTAAAGCACTTTATGATGGTGTAAACATAAAATTATTTTATGTTTGAACAGAACTTGTGACTTGAACGGTAACACTGTGTTCCTGTTGATGAGCTGGAGCCCCTGCGTGTAACCCTGACTCTCACTTTTCCTTTCCTTTCCCTGTAGTTTGTTGCTCAGCCCAACTGTCAACAGCTGCTGGCATCTCGCTGGTACGATGAGTTTCCCGGCTGGAGGAGAAGACACTGGGCCGTGAAGATGGTGACGTGTTTCATAATAGGACTTCTTTTTCCTGTCTTCTCTGTGTGCTACCTTATAGCTCCCAAAAGCCCCCTTGGACTGTTCATCCGAAAGCCATTTATCAAGTTCATCTGCCACACAGCATCCTATTTGACTTTTTTGTTCCTGCTGCTGCTTGCCTCTCAGCACATCGACAGGTCAGACTTGAACAGGCAAGGTCCACCACCAACCATCGTCGAGTGGATGATATTACCATGGGTCCTGGGTAAATGTGATACTATAGAAAATATAATCCAAACGTGTTGCTGCCATGGAATTTTGTTGCTCAGAAAAGAATATTCATTAAAGTTGGGGACGTAGGAATGTTTAAAACAGGTTCTGACCATTGTAGCTCCAAGTCTTAGTCCTCAAAGCTAAATAAATACTTCACAGACTGCGGTGGACCTGCCCCCAAATGCAGCCTACAAAACGTTAACTTTAGGTTTTAGAATTCCAGACTTTCATGACTTCAGGTCCCGTGAATGATTTTCTGGATTTTGTTTTTTTTTTTTTTTTTTTTTTTTTAGTATGTTTGTCTTCTGAAGCCTTTCAACATGTCTCATTAGCCATATGTAAATAATCTTTTTAATTTTCTTAACAGATACACCTTCTAAGAGTACAAATTACTCTGCAGAATTAGTGATTCTGTACATAAAATAACTAACCATTTTTTAAAATCAATTCATTTAAGTTTATCTTTGAAACTATATAGTAAAGCAAAATAATAGGAAATTAAACAGTAGGACATCCTCCATCTCTCTCTGTTCTTTTCATAGAAAAAAATTTTGTTTTAGATCTTCAGCAAATCATGGTAAGGTAGAAAACCTCAGAGTAGCTGGTAAAAACCTTGTTTTCCTTTCCTCTTGTTATTGAAGTCATAGTTAAAATTTAAATTTTAAGTATTCTTCCTTCTATCCTACTGTGGTTTGCTCAGAAATCACATTTTCGCAATTTAGCTCATCATTTTAAACCTCTCTGATATTATATCCATCTCAGCACTTACTAATTAGAAAATATGTGACAAATTTAATGATTCATAATCTCAGAAGATCAGTTTGGATTAACTGTCAAAACGGCTGGAGAGACTGTAAAATGAGGAAAAGGCAGGAAAAAAAAACCAGTATCTGAATCTGAGATAGATACACTTTTTAAAGATTACAAATACTGTAAGTACTGACAGTAAGAAAAGTGCTTAGGAACAAGATTTGATGTCTTACAAATATTTCTAATAATTAAAAAAAAACCTTCTCAAGTGAACGTTAAAATAAGATACATTCTCAATCTGAAAAAAAAAAAAATAAGATACATTCTCAATCTGAAGTAAAGTGTGATCTTGGGATGGTTTATATAGTCTGTAAATGTCTTTTTGAATAAAACAATTATGACGTAGCAATTGATATTAAATATAAAATTATCCTACCTGTATCCATTTAAATTAAATATCTCCCCATAGGAACCTGTTCTTTATTGAGTTTTCTTCATAGAAAATTTCTTGGGAACAATTCATAAGGAAGCTTTTGGAAGTCAAATTTCCCATTGTGTGTAACTTATATTGAATGTCTAAAAATCCTGGTGGCCCAAGTGAAACACAGAACATTTCACTTTGAAAAATGGTATAGATATAATGCAGCATAAGTAGATATAATACTTCTAGTCTTTTCTTTATACAGTCAATGAAAATATGTAGGGTACTTTCTATGGATTAAGGGCAGTACAGGGCAATAGTGAAACAAAAATTAAAAAAAGAAGAAAGAAAGAAAAAATGAAGAAAGAAAATGAAAGAAAAAGAAAGAAAGAGAAAGAAAGAAAGAAAGAAAGGAAAAGAAAGGAAGGAAGGAAGGAAGGAAAGAAAGAAAAAGAAAAGAAAAGATCTCTTCTCCTTATGAAGGTTAAATTTTACTGGAAGAAATGGATAATAAACAAACAATGAGATATGCGATATAATATCAGAAGTGGTATATAATATGAAAATTAGAAGCTCCAAACTTTGAATAATTCATAGAAGTAAAACAGTCATTGGCTGCCTCCTACATGCAAAACTTGTCACATAATTTTCCGTGAAAATTGGCTAGAAGAAACCGTATCCAAATTTCAGCTGAATGGTTAAATAAGGTAGAAATTTAATTATGAGAACTATAGTTCCAGCCAAAAGAAGTAGCTGCTAAAGGCAACCTTTCCTGAAGATATCCTGCAGAGGGAGTTCATTTATATGGGAATCTTTAGGATGAAAAGAGATGTTCTAGAATTTAAAAAATACCCATGAATGATCATCTTGCTTAAATAACAGAGCATGAGAAAAAGAATGTTTCTATATCAAATAGATCTGTCAAAACAGATTATTCATCAAGGCTGGTGAGTTCTGAGTGCCTCGTATCTAAGGCTGAGTTCTAAGTGCTTTGCTAGAGTCATGATTATAACGGGTATTCTCCATGTTATTTGGCTGTAGAAGAAAAATGGATTTGAATACATGTTCAAGTTCTACCACTGAGAGACTATTAAATTATGGGTGGACACAATCTCTCAGGATTTTCTGTGTTTTCATCAATAAGATGAAAGATTCAGAGTGATAACTTCTTCAGTCCCACTGTGTCCTGTTATCCTGTCCTGGGGACCTATCATTATCGGCGCAGAGAAAATTGATCTTTTCGTTGGTGGGGAGAGGGAGTGGGTGGAGGGAAGAGGGCTAAAGACAACAGGGTAGGAATCCTTTAACCTTTTACCAGAAGTGTGATAGACGCAAAAAAAGCATGGTCTCATTTGCTGACTATATCAATGAACCTTCTATATTGCCTCACTCAGTCCTGCTGTTTGGTAAAGTGAGTGACTGTACATTTCATGGTCCCTGCATTGTAAGGCTCTAGGTTTATAATAACAAGACTTCACGACTTACGGAGAAGTGTGTGGCTTGTGTTTCCCTCATCATGTTAATGTTCCCAGTGACTGAATGAAGTTCTGCGCGTGGGTTTTTCTCAAGTCTCCTTGAACCGACTTAGGTTTTCAACTCATGTCACCTCTGTGAGTTGCTTGTTCTGTAAAGAAATATTTTTTCATTTTACTAAACTTCCTTTCCTTACATTTTCAGATTTTTCCCAGACCTATGATACTGTAGTTTAAGGGAAATGATTACTTTGATACTTCTCATTTTGTTTATCCTGGCAAAAAGACTTTTGCTTTACTTGTTTTATATATTTATATCATAAATTTCCAACTTTTTTGAATAGAAAATTTTTCTAACTTTAAAGCTTATCCTCTCAAATCAATCCCTTTGTCTGAAGAAGTATGGTTTTTGCTTGGGAATTTCCATGTTATATACTTTGCTGTGTTTCAGCAATAAGATTATACAACATGACAGATCCAGATACCTTGTGATTTAGTTCAGTGGAGAATAATGTTTCTGTGTTATTTTCACTGTCTTTCCTGTTGAAGTTCAACATCTTTTTGACTATATAAATTGAAGTCTATTGAGTTTGATATCTTTAGAAGAGAATCTACAGTGGTCCTTATATCCTTTCGCTGTGGTGTGATTGATAAATTGTAGCTCATCTCTAGCAAAGCTTTTCGAATTATTTTTCCTTCAGATTGAAGGTTATCAACCCTTCTTTTCTCCCATCAAATAACCTCTAGAGATCGTCTTACCTAAGTTTGCTGTCAGGATGAATTTAGCATATAAGCAAAGAAATTTAAAAGCCTGATAAAGGGATAAAAATTATGATTCTGGTCATCTTGAGAGATACAGTTTTAAGCAACAGAGAAAACTAATCACAGATATTCCGTTAGAACTCTGTCAGTAGAAAGGTAGATTCTAGACAGATAGACACCAGTATATTTCTCAGATTGTCAAATTACCCATTTGAACTAGAGTAAAAAGTAAAACAACAGTTTCATCCTGCATGCATATGGCCTGATAACAGAGCTATGCTTTTCAATTTCAATAGAGAGAAAGTATCACCGGGAAGACTGTGATGGATTAAAAGAAGCCTGGGGTCAGATCAGAGACATGGCTACTTCTGTATTCTGTTGTGTCATGACCCCAAGGCTCTTAATTTATTAAAGGTTTGATTTTAACAATATAATACTAAGGATATGAAATGAATATAATATTCATATGAGAAACTCCTTTTTATATAGAACTTAAATGCAAACTAAATATAGCATGTTATATGTAGAATGCGTATTATGAGAATTCATCTAAATTAAAGCAGAAGTTTTAACTCCAGTAGATGTCATTTGTTTCTGGAGATAATGTGGAGTAAAATGTGAAAAAAAAAACTTTTTTGAATGCTAATTTTTAAAGCCTTCCCAAAACTAGATTGGATTTTTCCACAGAATCCATTATAACTCAACTGTAACAATTAAATTTGTGTCATAGCTTCTTCTCCTGCAAAAAAAAAAAAAGTGTGCATATATATGAAACATCCAGATTAGACTTAAGTTATCACTTAGCAAAAAGAATATGAAATTGATAACATTTTCCACAAAAGAAGTAGAATGTTAATGAAAGCTATCATATTAATAAAGCAGGAAATACCTTGTTCCCAATGAGAATACTGCCGAATGGCTGCTGAAGTGACTTGATATTATGTGTGTGCTTAAGAATATGTCATAATTATATAGCATATAAATCTGTGCATGCTGAGAATGGTGAACTGAGGAAAAGATATATCAGAGGAAGAGATATGAGATCTGTTAAAAATAGCTTCTAGGGCTTCCCTGGTGGTGCAGTGGTTGGAAATCCGCCTGCCAATGCAGGGGACGCGGGTTCGTGCCCCGGAACGGGAAGATCCCACATGCCCCGGAGCGGCTAGGCCCGTGAGCCATGGCCGCTGAGCCTGCGCGTCCGGAGCCTGTGCTCCGCAATGCGAGAGGCCACAACAGTGAGAGGCCCGCGTACCGCAAAAAAAAAAAAAAAAAAAAAAAAAAAAAAAGCTTCCAGTGAATTTCTAGGCATAAATTAAGAATTGCTCATAAGATCCAGATTCTGTCTTGCCTATAATACATACTTATTTAACAATTTTTCTGCAACAAAACTGGCCTCTCATTTTCATAATTTATTTTATATTTTTATCTTTTAAAGGGTTGATATTAGCAAATCTGAAAATTTCAACAAGGCCTGCCAAATGGAAAATAAAAAATGGTGATCACGTTCACATCTAGACAAAGACTCAGGGACAAACAATCCTGTATATATTCTTTCTTTCCTATTACCATTTCTTCATCTTTTGTCTAAAAGGCATTAAGATCACATGGCTTCAGGTACTCGTACTTTCAGCCTCACCCTTCAATTATCCGTCTTCCCCCAAATTAAGAATTATAAGAAACAAGTCTATAGATTTCCCCACTCTCTCCCTTGGCTAGGTATTCTAACCACCTCAGCAAACTAGCTGCAGACACATATAGACAACTCAAACACAGCTGCAGAACATCCGTTTATTAATTTAAAGGGATATTTTAATTTTCCAGAAAACCAGATAATCATTGCAGCATGACATAGAATTCTCATTTTCCTGTTTATTTGTGAGGAAGAAATTTTAAAGTCATCTTTACCAAGATTTATCAAGACTAACACAGTAAAATCTCAAACAACAAAGTATTCATATAGTTGTAAATTGTTCAGTGTGCACATACCATTGCTGACCAAATGACTTCCTTTTCTATTTTTTAATACTTTTTATTGGTGTACAGTTGATTTACAGTGTTGTGTTAGTTTCAGGTGTACAGAAAAGTGAATCAGTTATACGTATACATATACCCACTCTTTTTTAGATTCTTTCCCCATATAAGCCATTACAGGGTATTGACTTCTTTAGTGGAGAGAAAATTAAGTCTTTTAGGTCATATATGCAATACAAATTTGGTGCACCAACAAATGAAATCTACAGGCCTTGGGAGAATGTTTGACGACCGTGGTTCTGATGGTTCAAGGGAAGAGGAGAAAAGATAGGAAAAGAGGAGTACATAGGAAATGAGGGAGGGTCAGAGTAAAAGATTGGAGGTAAGCTGGAAGTGGTTTCTGTTAGTTCAGAATAACAATAATGGTAATAGTAGTGATGGTGGTAATAACAATAGAAACTAAGAAATTTGGCATTGTGCTAAGTGACTCAAATGTGTGTTTTTATTTGAACTTCATAGCCAACTCCACTTTACTTATAATAAATGATGTTAGTATCTCATTTAATAGAGAGGAAAGAGGCTTAGAAAAGTGAGATCACTTTCCTAGGTTCAAGGAGTTAACAAATGGTAGATACTAGATTCAAACTCCAGTTAGTCTAACTCCAGAGCTAGAGCCTTTATCCTCCATAAATACTGCCCTTGGAGTGTGAGAAATGGAATTTAAAGGGGCAAAAACAGCCCAAGAACTCAAGTTTCCATCCACAGACTTCTTTCCTGTTTTCTCTGCCTCTGTTTACCAACTTAAGTCTTTACAAAGGTCAAATTTGAGTGGACCACGTTTCTAATTTATTAAAGATGCAACGCTCTTTGAGATACACACTTGATATAATTTCCTATTGAAGGTGATGCTTGTTAATATAGCGAACTTAGCGTTGCCATCAGCATCACATCAGCAGGACCCTCCATCTTCATCTCCACCACCCGTCTCTGTTCTAAAACACATGCATTATAAATGGTTCCCTAATACTCACAGAAGCAATTTCTATTCTAAGAAAGAAAGAAGTCCTTTGCCATGACCTTGAGATGCTTCCCTTTTAGTTTCCATGTTCACTTGCTAAGACCTAAAGGTAAATTTCCTTGCTTCCAGGGATATCATTAATTTTTTAATCTTTCATTGGTGTGTATATGTATGTGTGTGTGTAGCGGGTCTTCAGGAAATGTAAAGAGATAATTATATTTCTTTTGCACAGAACTGTTTCAAAAATAGAAGCTTATAGTAGGTGGAAAGTGGTAATCTTCATAGTGAAAAATTAATAATCACTCATTCAAAAATATTTATTAAGCAACTACTGCCACTCATTGAAAAGGTGACTTGAGAAAAGACCTGAGGAATATTTATTCATTGTTTTTCCACCTACATAAATATATAATGCCTTAGTTCTCATGGAAAATTTTAAATTAAACAGAAATCCTATAAAAAGTCTAATACTGCATTGACAGAAACATTTTACTTGATTTTTAAGTTACTACATTTATGTCGTAAGCAATCAGGTGAGCTAGAATTCTAAAGTTCTTACATCTTAAAAAAAGTTTTACATCTTAATCGAAAACTAGCATCGTATTGTTCCTTGGCACAGTTTCAAAACGTGTACTTCCTTAATTGTATATTCCTAATTTTTTTCCTCTAAATGTTAAATTGATGCTATCAAAACTGTATTAATTTAAGGGTTTTTAGATGTCTTCAAACTAAGCATATTTGACTATTCACCGTCCCTTTAAGTCAGCGTTTCTTGAAACGTGGTGTGCTGACTATAGTCATAATCACTGTGAATTTTTTATGAAAAATTTAGATTTTGAATTCTCCCCTTGGCTGACTGATTCAGAAATTTCAGAGGTCTTTAAACACTAAAGATTAAGAAACAATTCTAGAAACCAAATTTTATGCAGGTTTCGTATTTAGTTCCGATTTCAGCTTTATTGAGGAATTGAGACGCATTAGAATCTAAACATGAAATGGTTTAACCTTTTCCAACCACTCTTCCCAACCACCCTGCACCAAATATCCTTTCCCTTCACTATCTGTCTGGTAGATATCACCAATTTCCTGAAATTTTGAGTTATTAAAAAGTAGTCCCAGTTCAGTTTAAAACAGGAAGCTTACCATCAGTTGAAAGCTCTCCTCTTCCCCACAGAGGCCTGACACGTGTATCAAAGGACCCGGAAATATTCATTTTTTGCTCATCCTTCAACCCCAACACTGGAATGGAAGGAGGGACATAGACTTTTTCTGTTCTCCCCATTGCTTGGTTTCTGCAGGCAAGAAGGATGTCAGGAAAAGTTAGAAGTCTTCTTTACCTCCTTGGTACCCTGGTCACAGCTCTTCCCTTGTTGGTTGTCTGCATCTCTGGCTTATACTGAGTGGCCTATGAGACAGGTCTTGACCCTCTGACTCTCCTGATGGGTCCATGAGTGTTCTTTAGAGGGTCCTGTGTACCTGCACACTACATAGTTCTCTGAATCCGAGTTTCAGCTCTGCCTGACATCTTCCAGTCTGGGAACTCATAACCAGCAGTTGGCCCCTTTATGGGTCCTGTGACCCTAGCAAGGGCAGGAGAACAAGACGGCTAAAGCCCGGCTTCTTCCTGTGATAAGCACCAGCTCCCCCAAGAGATCACAAAACCTTACTACCTCAGGTGGCAAGGGGCCAGGCTGCTGTCAGCTCCCCAGCTGCCTGGGGAAGACCCACTGTTGGTTTGTTTTCCCTGAAGTGCAAGCCAAGTGAGAGACGAGCAGCCCAAGTGCTTGGGAAGATGCCCCAGCAGGCATTAAGAGCCAGCTTCTCCTTGCAGAAACCCCCCATCTTTGTGAGGCATTTTCGTGGAGTCTCCTACACTTGACCTAGGGAGATGGCGGTGCTGGTGAGGTCGCTAGCACCCAAACTGCAGTGCCCTGAGCTCACAGCTCTCTGGGCCCCTCTTCCCAGCGTTCTCTCTGTATAACCCATGGGTTAGAGTGTGGCAGGAGGCTGGTAGCAGATACGGTCCTCACCCCTCAGGAATCCCCAGCGGGAAGGGCTGCAGTTTTCTGGACGCTCTCTTCAGAAACTGGATACTTGAGGCTCTTTATCTTTGTTTGGGTTTTAAGAATAACGCTGAGACCGTAGCAGCCGCCCCTTAACTTAGTGCCTCCTATGGGTCTGGCATAATGTGAGTCTCTACTGAGTAAAATAACTGCATTTAGATTTCTTTTTGTACAAAAGCAGAATTTTGACAAGAAACTACCTTTTTGTTTCCTGACTTGGGGAGGGAATAAAACCTTCCAGCGAAGAAGAATTCTTTTTTGTTGCCTTTATCTTCATTGATTGGTGCCACAGCCTGGAATTCAGTGTTGTCAAGGGACTTCCAAGGCCAGATCCCTCAACTAGCTCTGGGGCTGCTGTAAAAAGCCCTCAGAGGTGTCGCAGGTGAAAAGCTGACTTGCTCTTTGCTTGGGGTTATTTACTCTTCGTGTAAATACTGACAGCAAGAAAGGAGAGGCAAGAGGTCTGTGTGCAGAGCTACACATTTCTCACGTGAAATCGAGGCTGCTAAGTGCAGCATCGGAGGTCTGCCTGCTCCATCCGCCCCCCACAGCCAGCTTCACGTGCTGGGATATAACAGAATATGCAGATAGCCCTGGTGAAAACTGTTATGGGAAAGGTAGAAAACAATAGCCCAGACTTCCAGGCATCCACAAATATTTTTAAAGGAAGTTCTCTGACTCACTGGTACTGCGATCTTTCCGTGGTTGGTCCCTGCAGTCTTAGATCAATGCTTGTAATTAGACTTCCACCACCACGCTGAGAAATCATGTCACCTGTTTATAAACAGCAGAGAATAACTTTGAAATGTTCCCATTGTGGGACCAGCACAAACATTTTCTGACAGAAGCTCCCTCAAGCTTTGTTTGCTTTAGTCGTTTTTTGGTTACCACGAATAGTTTACTATCTGGATGCATTTTTCAGCCAGTTAATAGCACCTTCTAGTTTTTCTAAAGGCTTGTTTCTTCTAAAATTTCGGTGAACATTGCCAGAATAGAGGAAACTTGGTATTTCACTAACGTGCTCATAACAAATAGAAATCAATGTCATCAAACAAGGATGTGGTGATACAGGAAGTGATCCAAACAGCTGTAGGAAGTGATCCTACAGTCTGGTGCTTTGAAAACAAAAGATCCCAAACCCCATTAGCCAACCAGCACTGACTGCCAGTCTCATTTACAGTTCAGGTTGAAAAAACAGTGGGCTAAGTCCTCAATTTCATCAGGATCTCTGTTTTTTCCATACAGTTGTGCCTTTCCAAAGTCAGGAGTAATATAATTTTTGTATAATTCAGAAGGTTAGATTTTATGTCTATTCTTTGAACTCCAAAGGAACTGTAATATATCCGAATTGTGAGTTTTTGTTTTGACTCTTCTTCAGAAACCTTAGAGGTCATCTATTGAAGTGTCATGTCCTTGAATCTGTCTAATAGGAACAGAGTCTGCTCAGATATTAAGGGGCTCCAGGTTAAAATGCTGCTTTCTACTGAGCTCCTAACTGCTTCTTCATACCTCCTTCCCCTCTAAAGCAGTTAGTTTTGGTGTCTTTACTCTTTTACATGATTACCCACAAAATATTTGAAGTTCCGTATTTTGGTGACTGTTAATAATCCCATTTGGCTTTCCAGTTGGGTAGAAGCAAAAAAAGAGATACAATTTATCTATAAAGGGAAATAAAATATAAACCCTCTTGTTGGTTAGTAGGTATTTTTAAATATATTTCATTTTAAAATACATACAAAATTTGAAAACACCAGAATCACAAATTCATAAAGTTGGAATGACCTTTAGAGGTCCAGTGGAACAAGTCTCCACTCATTGCTAGAATTTCTCTGGAGTATGACTGATCAAAGACATTCCAGGCTCTGCATTGGAATCGTAACCTCAAACGGTGATCCATTCCAGTTCGGGGACAACTCTGCCAGAGAATCCCCCTTACATTGGGCAAGAAGGTTCCGTTCTATAACTTTCATATCATAGATCCAATTTCTGCTTTCTGGGGCAGACCAAAGCTGGTGTGTGCCCTCTGGTACAGAAAAGTTTTTAATCTCTCATGTCAGCTATTGTGATGACTGAGTTTCATAGAATATTGATAATTCAAACAGGAAGAATCAGTGTCTGGCTTATTTATACCATTAAGGTAGAATTATACTTCTTGTATGATTCTATCTATAGAATTCTGTGATAATCCAAACCTTTCTTTTTTTGAAGTGAGATAACTGAAACCTAGAAGGACGAGACTACTGGCTAAGGTTACAAAGCTGATTACTAGTTGAGCTGAGCCTGGCAATTCACTCACCTGACATTATCACTATGCCTTCTGATGAAAGTGAACTTGAATGCATTTGTTCAATCAACGATTGCAATGCTCACATCGCCTCATCTCTGGGAATTGGCAAAGTTTCAAGCAAAACAAAACAAGCTCCATTGTGAAATCTCAGGAGTAAGAAAATATTGTCTAAGAGCACTGCCTAAGGAGACTGGTATCCTGTTCTGGTTTCTCCACTAACTGGCTTTAGTCACACGGCCTTTTGGGGCCTTAGCTTTCTTATGTAGGTTGTGGTTGCGTGCTGGATTCTGAGACTGTACCCAGGCTCAGTAGGAAAAAGCACCACGAATGTGTGAGAGGAGAGTATTTCCATGAGTACCGAGCATTTTTCCTCATTGCATAATATAAATTGTAAGTTTCCCACAAGCTATAAAATCAGTGCGTGTATCACATCTTATTCAGATCTTATATATTCCTTTCTTCAATAAGGAGTCAGTGATCATTATCACCTCCCCAAATATGCCCAATTTTATCTGAGTTCTCAAGAGAGATTTATTTATGAAAGAAACTTCAAAGGGGAAGCTGGATATAACAGCAAATCTAGAATAAAGCTGTGGTCTACAGCAGACTTTAAAATGCACTCTATATTTAATTCAACTGAAATCAGTCCTCATCTGGGTTCTTAATTTAAGTGTGACAAAATTTTAAAATAAAACTTTATTAATAATATTAAATAACTATTGCTAGTTTTCACTAAATAATTATGGACTAATATACTTTTATTTCTTCCAGAGTTCTATTGTGCAAATTTTCAAGCACATCTATCAGCAATATATCACAATTGATACTTTATTATATTTCTTTATTTTAAATCTAACCCTATTTCCATTGTCCAGCATAAATCTCTCATAATTTTTGCTGCCACTACTTTTAAATTTTTTACTATTTTAAACTTTTGCTGCCACTACTTTAAAATTTTTTTTTCTAGGGCACAGGTATATAAAATGTTGACAAACACATACAATCATATAGCACCACCACAATCAAGATATAGGACAAACTGTGGCCCAGTAGGCCAAATCTGGCCCTTTGACAGTTTTTATAAATAGTTTCATTATAACAAAGCCACACTCATTCATTAATTGCAAAGCCTAAATTATTTATTTTCTGGCCCTTTACAAAATAAGTATGATGGTAGTTTAGATTTTTATAGATGTCCTTTATCAAATCAAGACATTTTCCTTCTAGTCTTACTTTGCTGAAAGTTTTTGTCATGAATGGATGTTGAATTTGGTCAAATGAATTTATTGTATCTATTGAAAAGATTTATTGCATTTAATGAAAAGATTTTTTTCCCAAAATATCTGTTGATGTGACAAATTACATTGATTGATTCTTAAATTTTCAAACAATCTTGCATTTCTGGGAAAAACAGCATTTGGTCATGACTTATTAAGTTTATATATTACTGTATTTAATTTACTAATATCTGTTGAGGATTTTATGCATATTCAAAGAGTTATTAGCGTGTAGTTTTCTTTGTATTATTTTTGTATGACTTTTTATCAGAAAAATACATACTTTTTAAACATTTTTTCTTGTAATTTTGTAAGTGTTTGATTAGCACTGGCATTATTTTTTCCTTAAATGTTTGGTAGAATCACCATGAAGGAACTGGACCTGAATTTTTCTTTGCTGGAAGGTTTTTAACTATGAATTCATTTTCTTTAATGAATATAGGACAATTCAAGTTATTCTATTTCCTCTTATGTGAGTTAGGAAGGTTATCTTTCCGGGAAAATGTCCAATTTATTTAAGTTGTGAAATTTATGAGTATCAAGTTCATTTTATCACTTATCCTTATGAAGTCTGTAAGATCTGTATTTATGTCCCTTCTTTCATTTCTGATATGGATCATTTATATCTTCTTTTTTTTTTTCTTGACCACTCTAGCTAGACTTTTATCAATTTTAGTGACCATTTCAGAGAATTAGATTCTGTTTTCATTGACTTTTCTCAAGTTTTATATTTTAAAATTTATTGATTTCTGCTTTAAAATTTTCTTTCTTCTGTTTGTTTTGGGTTTAATTTGCTCTTCTTTTCAATGTCACAGTTGAAGCTGAGATCACTGATTTGAGACCCTTATTGTTTTCTAATTAAGCATTCTACTCTAAGTACTGTGTTAACTGCATCACAGAACTTTCAGTTGTATTTTCATTTGTAATCATTTCAAAATATTATCTAATTATTCTGTTAATTTCTCTTTAACCAAAAGTTATCAGAAGCATATTATTTAATTGCAAAATATTTGGGGATTTTGAGGTACCTTTTATAACTGATTTTTTGTTTGCTATGTTGTCATGGTAAACATTTAAACATTTCAACATGTATAAATATGTTGAAGTTATATAGTCTATCTTAGTGAATGTTCCATGTGCACTTCAAAAAAATGTCTTCTGCTATTTTCTTTTTTTTTTTTTAACATCTTTATTGGAGTATAATTGCTTTACAATGGTGTGTTAGTTTCTGCTTTATAACAAAGTGAATCAGTCACACATATACATATGTTCCCATATCTCTTCCCTCTTGCGTCTCTCTCCCTCTCACCCTCCCTATCCCACCCCTCTATGTGGTCACAAAGGACCGAGCTGATCTCCCTGTGCTATGCGGCTGCTTCCCACTAGCTATCTGTTTTACCTTTGGTAATGTATATATGTCCACGCCACTCTCTCACTTTGTCCCAGCTTACCCTTCCCCCTCCCCACATCCTCAAGTCCATTCTCTAGTAGGTCTGTGTCTTTATTCCCATCTTACCCCTAGGTTCTTCATGACCTTTTTTTTTTTCTTAGATTCCATATATATGTGTCATCTTCTACTATTTTCAGACTGTTGGTAGTGTTGTTCAGAACTTCTATATTCTTACTAAACTTCTGCCTACTGATTCATTTACTTATAGAGAGGAAAAGTAAAGACTATAATTGTACCTTTCTCTATTTGTATTTAAATTCTATGGCATCTTGCATTATCAGGTTATTTTGTTAGCTGCATTCATATTTAGGACTGTTCTGTCTTCAGAGTGATTTGACCTTTTTATCCTATGTTATATCCCTGCACATACCCAGTAACACTTCTTCTGAAATATATCTAGTCTTACATTAATATAACCATCTAAGTTTTTTTGAATTAGTATTTCATGGTAACGTTGTTATTCATTTATGTTTAACCTATCGATGAATCGTCATAAAGTTATGTTTTGCATCTTTATTCTATGTGAACATCTCTGTCTTTTAAGTAGTGTGTTTAGACCCTAACTTTCATTCAACGTAATTTTTGATATTGACAGAATTAAAATCTACCCTATTGTTTTTCCTATTTGCCCCATCTATTGCTGTATTTTTCCCTTTTTTTTCTGCCTGTTCTTGGATCATTTATTATAACTCCGTGTTTATTTACATTTGTGGCTATTTATGCATTTAAAAATATTTTGAGAGAAAGCCCTAGGATTTAC